AAGCCTGCACCAGCGGGCTGAGTGGGGACCGTGATACAGTGGACCTTGGAAGGGAAGGATGGGAGCAATCTCCCTCCATACCTTCTCTTTGCATCCCTGACAGGGTGCAGAAGTTGACTTTAGTGTGTCTGTGAGACCATATGCTGAGCACAGAGGTTGGAGAAACCAGCAGAACCCCAGAGTAGCCCCAGTGACCCAATGACCCCCAGCCAAATGAGGAACAGTCGCCATGGAGAGGGGGTTGAGAATTTGGTCTGGTGGGTTTTTCAAGTTAAAAAAAAAAACAAACTTTAGATTATGTTTACTAAAGTAATGATAGTTTATAGCATTATGTGTTTTAGGTTATAGATGGTTTGGCAGGCTGAAGGGAGGCCCAAATACCCCTGTCTTAGGGCACCAGCTGCAGTGTGGTGGTGGGTGGGGGTACCTGGAGGCTGAACTTCAGCTATAACCAAGAGTACTTACTCGAAGCAGAAAGTAACGTGCCCGTGTTGTTTTCAATGGACCCATTTGGTGAACTAATTGCCTTTTATTTGAAGGCAGCAACTCGATTGCGCATTGCCCCCACAAAATTAGTGCACTAATCACGATTCTGCCATTCCCTTTGTTAGCAAATGGTGGGGAGCAACCAAGCGGAATGTAATTCAGTCAAGGCCAGTGATATGTGAAAAAGGTACTCGGGTACTTCTGAGAAAGGGTTCCCCTCTCCCAGAAATAGGTGGTCTTTTCTTCTTTGGAAATTGTTAGATCTGGATGTGACCCCCTGAAAACTGTTGTAACCATATTGTCAAGAGACTGACAATGCAGCCCAATCACAGTGGATGACAGAATCAAGGAAATCACCCCAACATTAGAATTGGAGCTTAGCCTACCTCTGAGCTTCTCCTTTCATGACACCAACAAAAGTAAAGCTTGTACTTTGTGTCTTAACAGGTGTTTGAAAAGTATGTGTGCACACTCCCTACACTGTATCTTGTCCGACATACATTATTAGAGCTGTTGAAGTCAAATGTTAGCCATCATCCTAATTGTCACTAATTTATTGAAGGAGTTTAATGAAAAAAAAATGGAATTTACCTGTATGTTTGTACATCACGGTACAGCAGACCTCTCCTGTTTTGCCCACTGCTCCCCTCAGTAGTGTATTTTAGTTGATCCACCTGTTCTGCTCCCTACTCTGTCACTGGTGGATCTTTTCACCCCCCACTTCTCTGGCCTGTACTCCAGTTCTTATATGCATACATATATAAACCCTTAAAACAAAAAGATTCCTCTACCTAACATTTTTAATTCTCATAACTCTTCAGTCAAATGGGGAGAATAAACCAAAATTGCAGAGTTTTTGAACAGTGATAATGAAAAGTAGTCCAAGCCAGAAGCTGGACTGGGAAACACATAGACTTAAAAACCTGTGGACATGACTTCCTTCTGACTGTTTAATTATGTTAGTTTATATCCAAGTTAGCAACATATGAAGGAAATGGTAAAAGATGGGATCCTGGTGAAATGAAGTGTGTGAAGGCTGCACTGGGAGTGGCCAGAGGCCTTTGTCCTTCACCAGAAGAAAGAGGATCCGCCCATGGCAGTATGCTATACACAAAGCCTGTACACCAAACTCTGGGCCCAGGATGTCCTGCCTCTGAAACAGGTTTTTTAGTTCTTCCCACTTACTCTCAGGACGATGGTATCTGAGGGAAGCACATACACCTGGTCCATAAAAGGACATGAATGCAGGGAAGAAGTTACATTCCCAGGACCTCCCCAGACCCTCACCCCATGGCACAGGATGGGAGCAGCAGGGCTGGGGACGGTGAGGGGAGAGAAGCTAAAGGTTAGTTAACAGCATTTGAAAGCTGTTTCATGGAGACTGGCAGGGCAGATGCCAATGCCACACCCATCCGGACCTGTCCACCCACCTGTGCTGAGCCTTTCCTGCAAATCCGCACCCCCCAGCCCACCCCTCTCCAAGGACCCTGTCACCTGAGGTTCCCATGAGCCAGAGAAGAAAACCCAATCATGCCGGCATCCCTGGAGGCCAGAGGGTGGGGAAGAGGGACTTCCTTCAGCCTGAAGACTTAATAGGATCAGCCCCAAGTCACGTTGACACTGTCCTTCCTAGGGTACCAAGGCAGCTCCAGCTTATTCTCTGTCGCTCAGTGGTTTTTGTTCTCATGCACCCTCTTGCTGCATACATGTCCTCTAGTTACTTGCCTTTTTGGGGGCAACCTGGGCCAATGGAGTACCTATTCACTTCTCCACTTCCAAATTAAAGCTCTCTTTGAGTGCAGTGAAATAAAGCCCCAGTGATTGCTATGATGTCATCCACAGCCAACCAGAGCTTCTAAGATGCTTCTTCATTGATCTGGGGCCACAATAAGTTGATAAAAATTCACCAAGATAGGATGGCTGACAAAAAGAGTTGCCCCAAATTTTAAATTTAATCTTGCAAGGTTCTTTATTTTTATATGTTTTTACATCATTGTTCACTTTCATCCAATGTGTGCTTGCATGCTTTCTCCTTTAAGTTGTATTCCCTGTGAAATTCCCACCACCTGTGCACCATCACCATAGTCCCTCCCGTTTTGATCCCTCTTCCTCCCCGCCCCCCATCTTGCAGAATGTCTCTGATTTACGGCTGCCTATAATTAAAAAAAATATATTATTATTATGTATTTTCTTTCTGATCCCTAATTTAGGCCCCCTATATTCCTCCTATAAGTAAAACCATCCTATATTTTTCTTTTCCCTTCCGGCATATTTCTCTGAGTATGATCCCTTCCACCTCCACCCCTGTTGCTCTGAATGGCATGAGTTTCTCTTTTCTGAGAGCTGAATAGTATTCCATTGTGTATATATACCACATCTTCTTGACCCAGTCATCTATTATTGTCCCAAAATTTTAACACACACACAAGATTCCTCTGTTCCCCGAATTCCTGGTACTTGTGGGAAATACACCATATGCCCCATGTAAAAATTTACCTCTCTCCACATTCTGACCCTACATATAAAAATGCATGTAAGTAGTCATCTCCAAATCTCCGCAATTATTTCTGCTCCTGGCTGATGTGGGGGTGGGGGTGGGGACAGTTGGGTGGTGTTACTAAAAATGCAAAGGTTCAAGGGACTAAGAGTCTATTAAAAGCTGATCCAGGAGAAAACTCCATGCACACTGCTTCCATTTCTGGTCCTCATGACCTCTGGATCCACCCTCTGCGGAACCATGTTCACCATCCTATCTCTGCCTCACTCTAAGCAAACTCTCACTATTTGGGCAGGTATTTCTTGCCTCATAATGTGATCCCAAGATCACATTGCACAGGGGAGATCATCAGTCATGCATGGAGAGAATCACACAGTCCCCACCCCCTGCCATGAATGCCCCAGATCACTGAGCTCAGCTACCTGCCCTGGTGCCCTGATGAGCTTATAATCACTGCAAATAATGAAACACAAATGGAGCTTTTCCACATATAAACTTTATTCAAGAAATATAACAAGATGTTGTTAATATTACATTCAAGCACAAACTGAATAAAAACACTTCAAAGACTGAGTAATGCTCAGAGCAAAACATTTCAGAGGTAAAGTTTTCCAGGAAAACCAGATATTTCAATACATTTCCACAAAAAAAAGGCATGAGAAAGACATAGCAAAATATCACTCAGCCTAAAGGTATATTATAAAAATCCAATTTTGTAGGAGAAAGAACCTGATTGGGTGGACTAGGGTGAGGAGAAAACTAAATAGATTTGTTCTGGGAACTCAGGAGCCAGAAACAGAAGCACGTGGGAAGGTCTCAGAGGAAAGGAGGCAGCTGCAGAGACCAACGTCCGGGGACTGTTGGCCTCTACCCTGCAGGACACATACATATTATGACACTGTGACCTTAAGTGGCATTTGAGGAGCTCTCACGCAGGAGAGTACAAGTACAGATACACTACTAAGTCCTCACTTAACATCATTGATAGGTTCTTGGAAACTCTAGGTGAAATGACCTAGACTGAGAGCAATTTGACCGCAGGAAAATTAACATCCACGAGAGGAAGTTCCCACGGCATATTTCTGGTCAATGTGAAATGACCAAACTTCTAAAGACCCCACCCACATACATTTCATTCATTTATTGCCCAAAGCATTTATTCCAGGTCAGGGTTGAGGGAGGTCAGAATCTCAGGGAACTCAGAGCAAAAGGCAGGACCCCAGCCTGGGTAGGAAGCCCTTCCATGGAGGGGCGCTCACGCTCACCCTCTCTCAGAATGGGACAATTTGGAAAAGCCAATGACCCTCACCTGTGTATCTTTGGAACTTGGGAAGAAAACCACACAGATGTGGGAACCATACTCGAGACCCACACAGTGGCCTGACCTGGAATTGATGACGTCCCTCATGAAAGGTAAGAAAAAATGATGTTATTTGAGGAACTTCTGTACTAATAGGCAAGCAAGCAACCCCATGTACAAATCAAACCCCAATCGCAGTTCCCAAAAGCAAACATTTCACAAGAAGAAATAAATAAGCCTTGGAGCTGCTCCTCGACTGCAGTCTGGCAGGCGAAGTTCTTGGTCCCTGAAGAACTGTGCCCAAGATTTCAGGTTCAGAAACAATTGCACAATGGGGATAGCATTGAACATTCTGAATAAAAAAACATTATTTACAATGGGAAGAAGCAAAAAACAAAGCTATTGAGGGAGTAAATGTCACATCCTTTGCCCAAAGAAGTCCCCCAAGGCCAGTAAAAAAAAAATAAAGCAATTGAAGGATAAGACACCCACAGTCACTGGAGGTTCCAGGAACATTCAACCCTCAGGACGCAAATATATACTCAGCACCTGGGAGGAAGAATGTATGCATTTGGCTTGTGGAAAGAGGCATACTGCAACCCTGTGGCCTATCACCACAACTGAGCAGCCCGTAATCTACACACTCACAGCAGAGCACACTCCATCAAGACCTTGCACCATGGTGCAAGGCACTTACAATATCTGACAGAAAGGCACTTACAATATCTGACAGAAAGCACCAGAAGGGTGAGTCCCCTTGGGAGTCAATGGACGTGCCTGCTGCAAGATCACTGACCTTCGCAAAGGGCCTGTTTCTCAGGTCAAATGCATCCATGGGCCAAGCTACCTCTGTGCCCAGCTGTGCTGGCCTACAGAGAGAACTGGGACAGAGGACAGCAGATACAAGCTGAACCCACAAATCCCATCACAACATTGGCAGCAGTGCCGTGTCCTTCCCTGGGATATGGCCCCATATCCCAGCCAGGCCCCGAGTGAGTACACTCCATATCCGAGTAGTGGAGAGTAATACAGAAGCCACGGCACCGCTCGCCCCTCAAACAGCCCTGCACGGCTGCATTCGCCGCACTCTAGTGCTGAGCTGGTGCCCTTGACTCCTAGTACAACCACTTTTCCTTGAGGGTAGTCAGAGAGCCCCTGAGGCAATGTCACTGCCCAATGCCAAGAAAGAGTCACAGAAGACCGTGAACACCAAGCATCCCCACCTCGTGGCATCAGTGGCATCAGTGCCTTCCACACCAACAGCCGGCTAGCGGCCACAAGGCTTACGCATTACTTGAGAAGAAAGCTCTGGGCTTGGGGGCGCTGGGATCTGGACACTGACTTGGACAAAGCATCCACACCCTCCGGCAGATAGAGGGGGAAGGGGCAGCTAGAGCCTGTGGGGAGATGCCTCTCCAGCCAGAGGGCTGAGAGGATTCAACCAGCAGCCTGCAGGACTGACCTGGTTCCCGAGAATCCGGCTCAGCTGTAGTACAAGCTCTGGAAGAAGGCAAACATGCCCAGCTTCAGGCAACTTCTAGGGCAAGACCCACACGTTTCTCCTCCCACCCAGGTGCAGAGTAAGGGCAGCGGGAGTGTGTTCACAGCAAATCTGCAAATGGTCCAAATGTGTTGCCACAGAGGCTTCTGGATTTCTAATGAGAGCCACACGCCTCTGACCCAGAACTTGGTCTCTCACCCCTCAGGATATTCTAGTCAGAATGTCCTCAGTCCTCTGCCAATTTCTTCCCCAGGACAAAAAGGTCCTCAAACCCTTGATGCTGCCAATGTCGTTGTAAGGTTCCTACAGGAATCTTACCCGACACTTGTGCCTTGGGAATGTTTAAGAAGGGTGTGGTGTGCAGTACCTGGGAAGTGCTGCCGGAAACCACAGCTCACTTTCTTCCGTGTCGCTGTGGGCCACACGCCACTATGAAAGGGCTGGCAGTCAAACCAGGGAACCTGGGGAGGGGGAACCTCCTCTTTGAATTGCATCATTATCACCAGTGTAAGGCCAAGTAAGTCCTCAGCACCCCCGGTGACCAACGCACCTCTCAAAGCGCCTGCTCTTGCTATGCCAATTGCACTACTGTCTACAGGGAAGGGGGAAGCAGTGCCACGAGGCACAGACTCCATTTCAAATCCTTGCCATAGTACCCATTCTCTTTCCATTACCCATAATGGAAGGAGCAGGGACAAAGAGTCCAGGAAAATGGGAATTGAAGTGTAATATTTCACACCAAGAATTTGCAGTACATCACCATTCCAGAAACAACAAATGCCTTGGAGGAGACTCATGAAGAAGACCCTTCCTGAAGCAAGTACAGGAGGGTGAGTCTCACCCTCCTAGTCTTGTCTCATGGGGGAAGGCAGTACACAGAAGATGGCAAAAACAGAAAGCCTCCCAACAACAAAGCCCAGAGCTCCCAAAGCTGCTGCAAAGCAGAAAAACATGCCCCATCTTTGTCAGAGACCTTGGGATGTCAAATCACACTGGAAGGAGGGAGCCGTGGTCCTCTGTCCCCCGTGGACATCAACCCCAGGTAGTGCCAGGGGTGTCAATAAGCAGAGACACCCATGGACAAATAGAACTCCCCCTTTCCAGCGGGGTTGACAAGAGCTGTGGCAGTGACCAGGAGACATCTGAGCACAGTTAGTTACCCCCTTCACATTCAGGGCTGGCTCAGCCAATCCTTCGCTCATGCCCTCAGAGATCCAACAGAGAGCCATTCTTCCTAGGCCTCTCTCTACCTCTGTGACTTAGGCCCTGCGGGCATGGCTAGTTGAAGGCCATCATTCCATCTTTGCTCATCAGAGGAGCCCTGTCTCTTTCTGACACAATAAACCCTGTAATTTCTTTAAAAGATCCCAAGATCAACGTGGCTGGCAAATGAGTCTTGAAAGCCACTTACATCTCAGCATATTTCCCTACTAGGCACTTCCGTTACTTCGCATACCAAAGTTGTATCCCGCCAATAAGCATACAGGAAAGAAATGCAGACACAGAGATCTGGGGAACCCTGTCAGGCATAAAGTGATTCCTTGAGAAGGCCGCTCACAGCTCAGGGACTAACACCACAGGGAAGGTGCCAGTCAAACTCTGATTTGAGTTTTCTGAGTGCTGAATTTTTGGCTACTGCTCTGACAAAACAGTGATCCATCCGTCTAGCACCCACGCCTCAGGAAAATGGAGGCAGCAGAAGCACTTGTTTCCCCATGCTTGGGTGATTAGGAAAAAAGTCACAGAAGTGAGCACTGTCCTTGGTCCAGTTACTCTCTCTCCGTGGGGGAGGGGGAACCTCCTCTTTGAATTGCATCATTATCACCAGTGTAAGGCCAAGTAAGTCCTCAGCACCCCCGGTGACCAACGCACCTCTCAAAGCGCCTGCTCTTGCTATGCCAATTGCACTACTGTCTACAGGGAAGGGGGAAGCAGTGCCACGAGGCACAGACTCCATTTCAAATCCTTGCCATAGTACCCATTCTCTTTCCATTACCCATAATGGAAGGAGCAGGGACAAAGAGTCCAGGAAAATGGGAATTGAGGTGTAATATTTCACACCAAGAATTTACAGTACATCACCATTCCTTACATGAGGAAAAAGTTGTTGAATACACATGACTTGCAAAGCTAATATTCATTGAAAACATTTTAGAATAGTACATGTTTTTGCAGAACACAACTCTCAGTTTCTCACATGCCTTCACCTGAACATCACAGTACACAAGTGATTTGCATAGAAAAGCAGGGAGTGGAGACCTCTGGCACTGCCTCTGGCCAGAAATCCTCTGGCCTGCACAGTGCACAGTGTACCCTAGAAAGTCCTTCCTGGTGCTGGCTGCTGATCCAGCGCAGTCCAGCTGAGCAGAAGGTGGCTGAGGGTAAGCAAAAGCCTGGGGCCCAGGGATGCCTCTAACTTCACAGCAGGATGAAAGAGTGGAGATTTTTAAAAGGATGCGTGAGTCACTCCAGAGGCAACTTGCTGGCCCTATGAAAGGAAACACAGTTTAATGACATTTGGCCCAGTCTGCAAAGCTTGGATGGAGGTTGGCAGGCAACTATTGGGAGAAGTAAAACAAGCACCAGAAACTTCTGCTCCGACATGTGGGTGGGGTACTAATTCCTTGAGCATCCCCCCCCCCCACTCAGCACTTAACAAAGGGTACCACAGTTGAGCCTTACATCATAATACGAATCCCACCATGTAAAGGTGGAAACTGAGATTCAAAGAGGACAGTGAAAAGAGCCATGAGACTTTGAGACTCAGAGACAGGGCTGTTTGTGAATGAATCATGATGTGCAGTCCCAGCGAAGTCTGAAAGCAAAGAAAGGCCAAGAATGCTGGCAGGTGAAGTTGCAGGAATACTGGCCTCCAAGTGGTTTTAATCATCCCCAAGAGCCCTACCAGGTAACTGCTCACCCTACACTGTCGGGGCAGGCTGGCAATACCATTTCCGTCCACCTCCTTGGTCCACAGACACCCGCTTTAGGACCAGGACACAAATAGCACCAGGCAACAAGCTGCCCAGTTCAAGGAATTGTAGACATAGGGTTTCTACCATAGCATGAGTGAACAGTGCCCAGGCAGTTCCTATCTTAGAGACGCAGGGTAGGGGGCCATCACCATTTAAACTGATAAACAGCCGACAGGAGACTGGAGCTAGCCTCCACCCAACACAACACCTTGGCGGAATGTAAGAAAAGGTTGCTCTTACTTGTCTGGTGGCTCTGGTTTCACTCTCTTCTCATCACAGGTCCACAGCTTGGTCAGTACTGGACTTTTCCATCACAGGACCTGAAGGAGGTAATGATTATACAAGCCTGAAAGAGACTTACCTGTGGCTACAGAGATTAATTAGTATCACTGCAAGAAAAATGGTAACTTGGGAACTCAACAAGTTTGTCCCAAACACCCACTTTACCTCAAGCAGGGGAGCTTCAAAGAGAGGAAAATACATGATGGGTCTGAGTGCCCGCTCATGCAGTCTATACCCAACAGAGTAGGCCAAATGTTATCAGAGATAACGTACGACAGAACTGCTATTCACAAGCCTGGCAACCCCTTTAAAATGAATCTCAGTTCATCCTGTTTTGACCAAACATCACAGGTGAATTAAGCTGCTTTACAGCAAGAGGCCACACCACTAATTTGGAAGGAGCAGCATGTTCAGTCGGGCCCAGGTCCCCAAGCCAGGAGCATGGGCATGGTACTGGGCCAGACTGGCCAGGACATGAACTACACGTGTATGGGGTTTTTTCCTATGGCAGAAGAGCTGGATGGAGCCCCTAGGCCAACATTTAAAGAAATAGCAATACATTAAATTACATTTTTTTATTAAATTGTGAGCAGTGAACTGAATATCAATTTAATTTATTAGCTATGTTGAAACTAAAATTTTTAGTAATTTATAAGTTTTTCACTTATTGCCTTATTAACTATTAAAGCTCTTTTTTTACGGATTAAGATACTAATTTATTTTTATTATATATATATAATAAATATATATATATATAATAGTTTATTTTTACATCATTTTGTGCATTCTCCATCTCATTTGCAATCCCCTTGGGCTTCCCAACACCAAATCACCCATGTGCCATCATCATAGTCCAGTGCATTTCCCTACCCCCCCCTCCCCGCCCCGCTGTTATATGCACGTTTTGGTTCCCAAATAAAATTCAAAGTGTGCGTGTTGACCTGCAAGGAACGTTCATTCCTAGAGACCTCTCTGGGAGTGAACTTCCTAATATGCAAGTTGAAAAAGCCCCACGCTCGTCCAGGGAAATGCACGAAACGACTAAAGACAGAATGAAATCTTAAAAGAAGATATCCCATATGCACTTATTTGAGAGACAACCCCCCACCCCCCACCTTCCCCTACCCCACCCCCCAACAGTATCAAGTGCCACCGCAAGCCACCGGGCCGCCAGCGGCACTTCCGGGATCTCAACTGTCCTAAAACAACCAACTCTCCCCCACAGGGTCAAAGCCTGTAATTTCCACATTTTAAACACAACTTTATTCACGTTGACGTTATCTTTGGAATAAGACACACAACACCATGCTGTTTTACATTTTTAATGGTAAAGAAAACGAAAGGTTAGATCACTGTACCCTGGGTACCAGCCGCTGCCGGAAAGCAAGACGCCCGCCCACAGGCAATTAGCGCAATTTTTCCTCATTTGTGAATTAAACATCACTTAGAAAGGTTTAACGCAAAGCTTAGGAAAAGGACCGGCTCACACTCACTAGGATTAACATGCTACAAATCAACCCGTCACGTTAAAGCCCCAAACAGACCAGCCGCGGGCTCCCCTAGCACTGACTGTCCTCAAGGCCAGGCTCAGCCAGTGGCCGGCTCTGCCTCTCAAAGCCCAGCAACCTCAACCCGCTTCTATTCAAGAACATTTCTCCATAGGGAACAAGACCACGGTGCAAGCACATCAAAGAAGCGAAACATGCAATGGTATGATCAGCCCAGGGGCCCCCAACAGCCTTCCAACCCGCCGCCCTCTCCTCATGTACAAGATCAAAACCGCCCCAACCGTTACCATCACCGCCAAGGGGTTCGGGACCCACGTTGAAACGAACAAATTGATCTAAAGGGTCCATCGCGTTGGTACGTCATGCCCCAATAGGGCAGAGGCCCCTTCCCTGGGGTCCAGGCACAAGTCCATAGGACAGAGCCGTCAAAGTTTGTTAAGACCCACCACCCACCGGAATCTCCCAGGCCCAGTCCCAAGAGCCAACGGCCACAGAAAGTCAATGAAACTCACGTCTTTTGAGATCGTAGGAAAGGACTACGCCGTCTGCCCTCGTCATCGCCAGGAAGCGTCCACGGAAACCGCCCGGTAAATCCATTTTGTAATCCATAATGTTAACTGCTTGGCCCAACAGAACCAACAGAAGCTTGGGAAACACGAAGGGAGGGGGGAGTGTCTTCACCAACGGTTCTTAGGCCCCGCCTTCCAACATTGCCATTGGGTGGCCCGCGGTGATTGACAGGTACACTGTCCACTCGCTCCAGTTCTACAGTGGCCGCTCTGCAGATGTCTTAAAGGAACCGCTAAATTCTTCTTTGCCCCTGTTGTTACCGCTTTTATATTGATTATGCCCACTCCCAAGGTCCACTTCCACGATTCAGTCCCTGGCACTTACGTAACCTCTGTTTCCTGTCGTTTCTGAGTTTAGCAATGGGGCTCGCCGCGTTTTTCCCGACCTAGCTGAGCTATGCCCTGCTCTAGTAACCCTTCGATGCTGTCTGTCCTTCGCCCAACCCTACACTTGGGTGGGAACTTTGGCTACCAGATGGGTACATGGGGAGACATGGTACCTCGCATGCCTGCGAGGTAGCATTGGGCTGGACAGAGAATAAATAAAGCCCCAAAGTATGCATGGAAATTTTGGCAAGTTAGCTAAGCTTGTAGAAGTTCCCAACCATCATATCTTTTAAGACCCAGTGTAAGCACCAGGGGTTAAGACACAGCACTGTGAAGCCACTGCAGCACACGTTTCATTCCCTGCCAGGGAGCCACGCATGTGGCGCCCCACAGACCTCTCACCTCTCTGTGCCACCTGGGAGGCCCTGCAAAATATTTTTTAAGATTTATTTATTTATGCATACAGAACTGGGGTACAGGCCAGAGTTTCAGGGGCGGTGCGAGGCTTCACCAGAGACAGAGTGGGGTGCAGAACAGGCAGATTGACGAAGTACACTGCTACGGTAGGGCCTGTGACAGACAGGCGTCAGGTTGAGGCAGAAGGACATCTCAATCGCCAAAAGAGGGGCCCTAGCCTCTGGTTTCCAAACCCTGCTGGCTAGTCCCTCAGCACCCAAGCAAGACTAGGGGCCCC